CACACACACACACACACACACACACACACACACACACACACACACACACACACACACACTTGGGTGGTGTTTCATACCAATCTCTAACTTTTAGCCCCAGTTCGTGCCTGACAAGAATGTGTAGGCGTGCAGGGGTGGGTGGAGTAGGTGTGTTTTCACAATCTCACTATGACAAAAGGGGGAAATTCACAGAGGGCCACGCCCCCTCGCACACACATTCTCCCACATACACACGCTAAAATACATATTACGATCATCATGAGCCACCTGCACCTACATCAAACAGAAACACATGGTCAGTCTTTATCGTATTTCAGTCATCATGCTCAGTTTGAATTCCGGCAATAAACATGTTGTTAACAGCTGCGACATCAAAACAGCAGAGACGTGTTACGTGTTACACTCAAAGTTCAGAAAGTAGAAAAAGGAAGGAAGGTGGAGAGAAAACAGCTACTCTTACAATTTCCAGTAATGTTGAAGAATGAACTTTGACAGTTTCAATTCGCTCATATACTCACATTCGTATCACAGGTAGCCGAGATCAAAGCGTTTCATTAAGCCATGTGTGTAAGCTGAAAGCTGAAGGTTGTGCTCCATGTAATTCTGACATTTCTGTTGTGATTTAAGGAGGAACAAAATAAACAGAAATGTATTCAGAGCAAAGACGGTGAATAAATAAAGATGGACGACACGTCTCCAATTCCTCCCAAAGTAGAAAAACCAAGCTAAAGTATCCCGCATATGGGCGCTTGTGCTCTTGATATCATTCGGAGGCAGAGTGAGTCCTGCTGATGAAAAATGATTAAATGATTAATATCTGGTTTTCTTTGGAAAGCAACTGCGACTGCATAAAATGGAACTAATACAACCACTGACACACACTCAGATACACACACTCTGATACACACGCCCTGTGGTTGAGTGGTGCACAACGTCTGGCCAAGACGACATGTTTTGTCAACCGAGCGAGGCCAACCACGATTTAGGAAGACCGCAATGGAGCGCGCTCCTCACAGCCAAACACACAGTCTGACTGCATGACTGGCAGCTGGTCACACTGACTGGTCATAACCGACTGTTGACGGACTGGTGCACAAAAATAACGCCTGGTTCTCAACTGAATATCCTTTTTTTCAAGGAATCATCGACCTATTTAGTCTAAAACATGTCAAAATTGTGATAAAATGACAAATACAATTTCCCACAGCCCAAGACGGCATTTTCAAATTAATAATTCTGTCCGACCCGAATATTATCAATCTATAGTTACAGAAATCAGCAAATCCTCACGTTTGAGAAGCGAGAACAAGCAAATGTTGAGAGAGAAAACTTCTGTTGATCGTGCATGAGCTAACTTTAAACACGATTTGCCTGGCATGAAAATAATAAACATTACATACTCTTTCAGTCAGTGTTAAGTCAGAGCCGCTCTACCCAGGCTCCACCCCTCGCCTGAATGTGCCGCACATGGTCCTGTTGATGTGAACGAGTCTGACCCGGACAATCTCCTGCTGCTGCTTTGCATGTGAAAGAAAACATCTGGAAAATGTTTGAACCCAATTTTCTGCACATTTTCTGGAATTCATGTCTGAAAACGACTTCAGAGATTCAAGCAGAATAGTTTTCTGTTTTTTTAAATGATTTTTAAGGTAAAATCTCAAACACCTTCCTGAATTCCACCAAAACGTCTGCAGCCTATTTACAGTAAAGCTGCACAGACACAATAAAGAAAAGAAAGATCTCAGCGGATAACATTTTAATCAACAATAGTGCGAGTCATTCAGCTTGAATTCCCCTGTCTGGTGCACATCTCACACACCCGCGCACATGAACCATAACCCACTATCTGCTGTATCAAAACCACCACTGAAACCAGCATATCCCCCTTGAGCACAAGATGCATTGGTTCCTGATGCAGCCATCGAGGAGAAGCCTGCCGCTGGTGAGTGGGCTGTACCACAGATGTGACTGAGATGGAGTGGAGGGGGCGTAAGGATGCTGTGGGGAGGGAGGGGTCGGGGTGGGGTTGTGGGGGCGAAAGGGGTGGGGGGTTTCCTCAGATTATTCATAGACAATAATCAATGTGGGTGTTTTCGTAATTAGGCTCACCTCCGACAAATCTGAGGAAAAATAAGCTCGCTTTATGAGAACTGTCTGTCGGTGCATGTTCGCTGTGTCATGTGTGGGCAGCATCAACCAAATTCCTGCCAAAACCTTGCTCAATAACACACCTGGCTCCAAAACACAAACACCAGACGGCAGCAGATGTCAATGCTGACCGGTTTACAGTCACATTCTGAGTTCTTCTCCCCGCAGCATGAGGCGGAACATCGGCCTGATGGAGTCACAGACTTTTTGGCCACTGCATGAGAATGATTAGGGAATTCCCGTCTTTTTTTCTTACTAACTCGATCCACCCCCATTTGTTTGCTGCGACTGGTTTCTGGGTCCCACAGGGGTCAACACCAATCCTCCTCTCAGACATAACAGAGCAGGAGACTGTTTGAAAAACTTTATTATTTGATGTTTGAAAGATCAGAGACACAGAGCACCCCAGCTTTTCTTTTTGTTATATGTTAGGGTCCCGACAGAAAAGAAAAGTCCTCTGAACTTGTGAACAATACTACCAGCAAACCCCCTTCCACCACCACCACCACTGCCCCGCCCCGTCCCTGAACACACGTCCTGGTCTCTCTAATCCAAACACGCCGCCATAATCCCCGGCTATCACCCGACTCATCTACCAGCCGAGGAAGAGGTGGAAACCAAACAAACGACAGGAGACAAAAGGGCCACTTTCACCTTGATCAGCCAGGCAGGCTGGCAGACTCCTCTGGGAGGGAAGAGAGCAGAGAAAAGCAGAGACTTAGCGTCAAAGACATGAAAGACGTCTACGGCAGACAGGGAAAATGTTGAAGACTACACCTGAGAGAGATAGACAATCAAAGGAAAAAAATGTGTCTTAGATCGTGGAAAATGTAGAGGCAGAAAGAAAAAGGAAGAGGAAGCAGATATCTCCACACAACAGCCACACAAATTTTAAACAAATGTTAAAACTGGCCAAAAACTACATTACAAATTAGATGAATTTAAAACATGTGGGGGTCAAATCATTGCACTTGGCAGCTGATACTGTTGAGAGATGTCAGGTGATGGCTGGATTTCACGCTGCCTGAAGCCAAAGACAAAGGAGGGTTTCAAATGTATCAGCTGTGCAACCATGACAAAAACTTCTGCAAGAGAGTAATTTAGATTTATCCCAGTGGAGGAAAAGCTCTTTAAAAGGAAAACCTCACGTAAACACTCAGAATCAACACAACAGCAAATTCTCATGAACCTGTTGGCATCGCTCTCTCATTGCACACGGCACATTAAGCAGAAACAAACAATGTTGGTCCTTTTGGTAAATAAGTTGCATCAACATTTATCGTGGTAACAACTACTACAGTCTGCCACAGAGTCCTTCCTGGATGTTTTGCACATGCGATTAAACAACACGTACCACCTCCACTGTCTTTTTTTTTAAATGTATTTAAAGAGATCTAGAAGATCTATTCTGGCTGAGCTCTGCGGTGCAGCCTGTGGTGGAAAACTGCAGTTACATGACTAGTACATGTGTAGTAGGGTTAGCGTCATCTCCGGGCCTGCTGCTATAAACATTTAGCTTCCTTCTTGTTTAGTCAATGCAGCTCCATCTTTTCAGTCACACTTTCACAAAATCTTATTTCTTTTATGCCATCAAATGTAGAAATGTAGAATAAAATAAGGCAAAATGTGAGAAAATGAGAGTGAATGTTGGACAGACAGGTCGGCAGGTACAGGGGAGGGTAATGGTTCTGTCTCGTCTGTGCAGGTGAGTCTCCTGCGGGTCCTCTGTCCTAACACACTATTGTCTCCTTATCTACTTCCTCTCTCCTTCTCTGCAGACCCTGTTTAGACTGCCGCTCTCCCTCTCTCTGTTTTTCTCCCCCTCTCCTCTGCCACTACACTTTGACTGTCCATATAAACACACGTTAAAAACAAAATATGTATGTTACAAAGTTGAATCAACACGTATTTGCTGATGTTGACAGTTTTACCTTGAGTGTTTTAGGATTTTTAAATATGTGTGTTGTTTTCTGCGGCACAATAATGTGGGATATATATATATTATTTGAATCAACAATCAATTGCAGCGACTCAATTACTGGGTCACTTTTATAGTTTCAGAAAGAAAACCTGCAACCAGCTCACCCCAGACCCAGCAAACAGCCCTTTTTAAACACACAGGGCTACAGCTTCTGGTATCAAGATTCTTTTTAGAGTTTTTATCTTATTTCTACAAATTCTAATAACTAACAAAATAAATAAAGTAAGTCTCGGCTCATCTTAAAAACTTTTATATTTGGAAGGTTATCAGGTTCACTGTATGTCATGAAATACACAGGACAGTAGTTCTAGTTATTACAAGAAGTTTTCCTTCCACCTAAAAGAAGAATCTCTTTCTCTATCTCTTCATCATCACCTCCGCCCTCCTCTTTGTTCACTTGTTCAGGCAGCCGCCACTATTTGCCCTCATCTACCCCCCAGTGGGTGTATTATCAGAGAGAGTGGATCTCTGACATGTGTCGTGTGGCTGTGTAAATAAAATAAACCTGAGACGAGAGGTGCTTCTGTCTTCTCTCACTTCTGGAGGGCGACAGCAACCATATTTGATTAAGCAGGAAGAAATCAAACATGGCTGATACTGTACGTGACACTGTTATCTCCTGTAATGTTTAACATAAATGAGGCGTGAGTGTGTGGGTGATATTATCTTTTAATTCTCAAATTTGTCTGGGATTTCTTATGTTGTTCACTGTCAAAAACGTGTGTGTGTGTGCGTGTGTGTGTCTGTGTGTGTTCGTCCTACTTACCTTCATTTGGTATAGCATCTGGGTACATTTCTTTAAGCAAGTTGCCAAGTGTGTGCACGTTGCCTTCAGGTGAAACAGGGCGAAACAGTCTCTGGATGAACGGTCTATCACTCATCGTCTGAAACAAATTAAAGCACGACAAATTAACAATCACAGCAAAAATTAACGATATTAAACTATTCTGCATCCAGAATGAAGTAAAGTAAGTGTGAACAGTAGCTCATGTTAACAACCTGCCGATCTGCCTTGCTTTATGATGAAGGATTACAAAGAAATGCAAAGAGGAGTTGGAAAAAGGTAAACATTCAAACAGACTTAAGATGCTTTCATTTCACCCTCCCCTTCCAAACATGAAAGAGAACCAATGGTGAACTTCAGTTGTCATGAAAACTCAAAAGGTTTTAGTTTGTCCAGTTTGGACGACAGTAAAAATGGCGGCCTCCACAGAGAGGACAAACCCTCCATGTATATATAGAGAGCCCGTTCTATGGTAACGAAAACAACAATTCATACAATTTAGATGATTACACTCCAGTAAAAACATCACTAGGATTATTTTATATCCAATTTCTGCCAAAAATTCCTTTCACCTACATCTTACACACAGGACCTTTATAAGGAGCCGTTTAAGATTTCAATATTTTACTCATCAGACATCAATTCAAGGATTTTCGGTAAAAAGGAGAACGGATGTCCTGCATGTGGGACTTTTTCAAATGAGAGAAAGAATAAATTTTAAGGTTCACTGGGTTGAGATAGTTAAATTATGTCAATGAGCAGCCTGATGTGAGCTGGGAATGTGGAGCTTCAATGAGCCTGTCTGCTCAGAATGTGGTATTTAGCAATATGCAACATTTTTACAGATGTTACAAGTGACGCTGACATGTTTTACTGATTAGAATCAGTCTGGAAGTCATTAACTTCTGCTTGAGTAAGTATTTGGCAGAAACGTCCACTTTTACCCAGACTTGAAACTCCTCTGTTTCTCTCAGAGCTTCTTTAATGGAGAGAACAGTGGACTAACATATCTCATAATATTATGTGACATCTCTATTGTTCCCTGAAGTAGAAATCCCCTGTTCCTCTTTTATTGCTCTCCAGAGAGGTTGGAGGTCACAGAGATGGTGATGTTCAAGAGTTTCACAGAGCAGCAAAATGGATTTTTCCTCCCACTGACCACCTCATCAACTACTTATCACAGTGATCTTATCCTGCTGCCGACTACAACGCAAACCACTCAGAGCGAGAGCAACCTCCAAATGACGAACAGTTAAACAAATGTGACATACGCAGCAAACATCCTCATGACTGTAATGTAGTTATCGAATCTAAAGCCACAACATTCCATGAGTGAGATGTGCGGGAAACACGGTGCTAAATTACCAGCAGACACCAGAGGAAAAACTTGTAAACTGCGTTCAGGGCTGGGGGGGTCTATTATCACGTACAGACGAGCACCGTTAACATCCTGAGCAGTGGGACTCAAATGAAGACGCTGACAACTGGCTGAAGATGAAACACATTTTGAGCTGCATTTTTTTTGGGTCCTCCATCTCATGAATACAATCATTTCTATTGCTCTTAGTCAGATTAATAAAATGTTTAGAATTTAATTTGAATGCTATTTTAAACAAGCCTGGTTTATATACCTGTAAATGTAGCCTGGCGTGTATTTCTATCCAACTACAGCTGTTTTTAGACATATTTAGACTCCACAAAACTGAGTCCAGACATATTCCGTGTGTTTTTCACATGTGAAAAACACAGCAGGAAATTGTTCGGGGCAGACTCGTTCACAACAACAACGACATTGTTCCAATGTAAAGGAAAATGTTCGGACTTCAGTGCAGGTCTGAAATTATCATAAGTGACTCTGTTGTGTTTTGGTCTCTGAGCGCTTCAAATGTGTGGGAGACCTACAACTCAACACTGTGCCTGAACGCCTCTCGTTCAGATAGCGATGGTGCAAAGCTCAATTTGACAGTTGACTCCAGAATATTAGCCTTAGGGCTTCAATTCCTCCTCATTACACCTGTTCCACATGTATGTGCAACTCATATGCACCAAACTGCTGAGATGTGTTTGACATACTTTTACGTTGTGCTCCTGTAAATCCAGTCACTGAATCTGACTCTGGTATGTCAGCAGGTGTGTTATTTTGTAAATGTCAAATGTCTCACTATCACTTTGCCTAATTAAAAATTCAGTGGTTCTAGTTACCATCCGACCCATGTCCTCAGGGCACGGAGAGGGCGTCGAGCGCTGGACATCGGCCAGGAGCCGCTGTAAGGCGAGGACTTATGTTTGCTCATCAGTTAATCAAGCACCTTTCTTTTCAACAGCACACACGCTAAATCTACTAATTGGTCGTGAGACTGAAAATGTGTTAGCTGACGTTTGACTGCAGTAAAAACTTGGATGCTTTATTTGTATTGGGTCACGATTAAAGCTGAATAATAGTACTGACACAATTAAAGAAATGTAATAATCTATGATTTGTTTCAAATAAATAATCAAACAAAAAGCAGATGCAAATTAGGATTTACAGGATTTCTTTACCTGATGTTTTATAAACTGATTCCAGTTTCTTTGACTGATTAACTAGACAAGAGAAGTTTGTCGATTAAATCATATCGATTGATTTAAACACATCTTCTTACAATTCCATTCCATGAATAGCCAAAGAAAGGCAGTAATTGTGAGCTCAGCTGGATTCAAGTTAGAAATTTCTTGCCCACAAAGCAGCAGTGGGCAAAACTGTGGCATCGGAGGAAAATTTGGCGCAGGCAGATACCCAACCTGAGGTGTCAAACGGAGGGTCCGACACACAATAGGGCCTAATCATGAGGCTGTGAAAAGGAAACCGGCAAGGACAGGGATCGAGTAACCGAGCGGTAACTACACACCACAGGGCCAGGCGTGAATAAGCGAGAGGAAGGTGCCGGTGGAGGCGCGAAGCCGATGCTCAGGTTACACAGAAAGACTGAGTCACTGACAGGAACCCCGATGTTTCGTGCGGGATCATCACAGTGAGCCAGAGCAGAGAGAGTGCGCTAAGTGACAGCTACTTCTTTGCATTTTTTAATACCTGGCCATGAATAATTGAGCCTCTCACCACACAAAGAAGGGGCTATTGATCCCTGGGGAGAGAAGCGTGATACTGTTTGGATGGAGACACTTTTCTTTTCAGCTGGTGTGACACCTTAGCTGGCACAGCAGCACATGGCGACACAAAGAAAGGGAGGCGTCATTAGGATTCGGAGATGGCTCGCTCTCGCTGAATGAAAAGCGCAGCGGAACTCAAGAAGTTGCCTAATTGACGGTGGGGATTCAATCCGTCTAATTGATGGTAAAACAATGGACAGGGGTGGGGTGGGGGGTGAAGCACTGTCAATCAACGCGAGTTTCCGAGAATGGAGAGGGGTCAGAGAAAGCTTTCCACTGAACTCTGAGACCAACCTTCTTAGATTAAAATTCCAACCTCATTTTTTGCTGTCTTCATTTTCTCAGGACATGAAATGCACACCTGTGGAGGAGAAACTCCACCAAGGAACACTGAATTGAGTTTAAATCATTTATTGTTCAAGCATCACGCGAGGTTGACCTGTTGTTCAGTACTTCGCCATTCAGACGTCTCATTATTCTTCTAAACCTCCACGTCACTTCTCCTAAAACCAGAAAGCTTCTTTACACAATGCTTGAAAAATAACCATCAACTCATGAATTAAAAGCAACAGTTTGACATTTCCGCCTCCACCTCTTCTAACACTTTCTACCAAGTGTCAACGCAACGTGACATCACACTTTGCCATTTTGAAACCTCGAGTTTGGTACATTGTCCTGCACCTTCTTGTAGAAGTTACCATATTTGAAAGAGCAGATAGCAGAGCAAATACCTATTTTCTCAAGGAACAATTCATGGATCTTGTTTAAAAAAAAACAGACACGTTTAGGGGACCGATGTGATCTATGGGTGTGTGTTATTCGGTGCAGCTTGTTGGGCCTTGGTGAAGGTATGTGCCTCCCAGTGACTGATACCACTAATTTCTGTACTTTGGAAGAGCTTACTCTTTAATGCAATAACCAAATAAACCACAGACATGTAAACAAACTCCTCTCCTCTCCTCTCAGTCTGCATGATGATCTGAAATCTTTCCGCTGCTCAGCAGAAGTGACTGACAAGATCTTTGTGACTGAGTCAAGGTTCTACTAGAAAGCAATACTGTAAATGTGGCAAGCATAACAGGCATATCACCTGCTGCCCCTGGCATGATTACGCACAACTGTTTCCACCATTCCCATGTTTTGTAATTGTCTGTGTAGTCACCACTTCCCCCTCGTCTCAGTCAGCCATTACAAGCTATCTCGGAGGCAATAAACCTGCGTTCTTTGAGGCAGGCTGCCGCTCCAGCACCACAACACAGAGGTGGGTGGAGGTGAACTGACTGCTCTTGCATTGGGGGTTTGTGAGTAAGCACTGAGTCACAGAGCGGGAACAGAGAGGTCTACCTGTCGAGCAACAATGTAAGAGGTCTTTAAAGGCAGGATAGTAATTTTCACTTTCCGCGGAACGAGACAGTTGGCTCCCTCTGGCTCTTTAATTCACAGAGTGGTGTCACCGCTGGAGCAGGAAGATGCACTGGCAGCCAAACAAGCCCCGCCGCTGGCCGGAGCCAAGGGCGCGGCAGGCCGGTGCACAAACGCACACAATAATAAAACACCGGCTCAAGTGGAAGCAATTGAATTAACAAAGACAAATACATAAAACGAGAGACAGAAGCTTGCAACAAATAGATGTGAACTATGGTGTAGGTACATTAACAAAACTCGTACTTGTTCTTTAAGGAGTGTATCCAAATAGAAAGTGTATATGTGGATACATGTGCATTCATTACCTTTATCTAAATAATACATTTAAAGAAATAAAACAACATTCATCCACCACTGTCTCCTCATGGACCTCATGGATTTAAATTAGATCTGCACTTAATTTCACACTCATAAATATCAGCCCTCTAAACATTCGTCATTTATTTCATCAAAATCCAGGAATTATTCTGAGAAATAATTTTAAATGTTGAAAAAAACGTCATTTCACTACGTTAAAGAAAGTTAAATATTTGCCCCCTGATCCAGATCCGCACAAACATTTTGCAGTGCAGAGTAAAACATAACCCAGGAAACAATGTTCACAATGTCACAGATAAACAATTTATAAAGTCAAATGAACCTTTAATTAATAAATATCTAAGATTTATGACAAGGCCAGAAAGGTAGACAAACTATTTTTGTCCTTCAGGATATAGAGCAGCCACACACGCACGCACACACACACAAACATACAAATGTGTTGTCCATGCCCATGAGGTGTCTTCGTCTCCATACGGAGCACAGGCCAGACGGAAATGAGCCCTCTGTTATTTGGACTGAGTGTTGTCATTAATTCTGTCTGCATCAAACACAGCACATGTTATTTACACTAAAGACCACAATCTGGCTTTGAAGGACTGTGTGTGTGTGTGTGTGTGTGTGTGTGTGTGTGTGTGTGTGTAGGTAGGGGGTGTTCCTGTGTATTAGACAGTCTCAGTCATCCACACTGACTTCTGAGTGCCAAACAGCTTTGTTCTTTCCAACATTTCTGCATCGTTTCTTCACAATCTCCTTTTCTTCTTGTCTTCATGGTTTTTAGTCATCGTGTTGAGTCTTGTCACAACAACTCACTGGATTTTCCTCTTAGCCAACAAGATAAACTCTGCAGCGTCACTATGCAACTCGATTTCACAGAACTTACACTCTGCTGTTCGTTTGTTTGCTCTGTGTTGCTTTTTAATTAAAAGATGAAGGTTTTTACAAACTGCATCTCCATTTCTTTTGTTTTAGGCCATCATTCCTATCTATAATATTACAAATTGTACCCATTAAGTCAAATGTTAACTAAACAAGAAACAATCAGACAGGTGGTAAACAAATCCCATGATGGGCAAAACTCCAAAAATGCCACTACAGGTATTTTTAAGATCATTCCGAGCAGATTGAGTCTCTGCTCCTCTCCAGACTTTCCGAGCCGTCTCTGCTAGTAAACATTTAGCAGTTTGTATGATAAAAACCACACCATCTCCGAAAACAATCCAGACTTTTTCAAAATTCATGCTTATTTTCTCCAGTGTGCTTTGAAATCACACAGCCAGCCTTTCAAGGGCTTTGATGCTCCGACTGTCACAAAACCAATATGGCTCATAAACGACTTTGGAAACTTGCAATCTGGCCACGAAAAAGGCTGAAAAGTAGTTGGAGCTGGGACTCTTCTCCCCGCCAGCACTTACATGGTTTTATAGCTGCAACAAGTGCATGTCTGAGAGGGCGGGCCGTGTTGGTCGCCCTGCATGTTTCAGTCGGCCACTTTAAAGACTTATGTTTTATAGCTGAACACAAGAATGTTTTTGTAGAAGTGTAAAATGGTTTATTTACACGCCGAGGATGTGAAAGTAAAAACACAAAGCATTCATGAGGTTTGTGAATTTCAGGCAAAAACAGTCCTCGCTGACAGTGACAGACAGCGGCTCCTCCACCCTCGTTGTTGTGCGAAATGTAAATGCAGCCATATGTGGAGAGCAGCAGCTCATATTAAAAACTCTGCATATTCAATAATAAATCATCAAAGGGGGAAATTACCAGCCATCACACCAGATATGATTACGGAAATATATGCTTTAGGAAGTTGCATTCTGTTCTCAACAAAACAAGACTCAAATCATTTTAGGCCGAATCTATTTTCTGTCCTGTTTGCTGTTCCTTTAACTTACATGATTTTTCCTTACACGTCCTAACAGGCACTAAAGTTTAATGTCTTTACAGGACTCAATGACAGCGAGAGGCCTTTCTGTTTGTTGTGATTTGAGATCAAGGCTTAGCACGCACATTCAACTCAAAGCAGACTGTCAACATGTTTTTGTAGCAAAGATCCAGATGTTTTCCAAATCTTCATTTCCTTAACTACTCTGGATGCGACTCCTCAGTGTCCAGTGAGATTAGAAGAAGTTAAATTGCGTTTAATTACACTGTTGCTAAACATTCCCTCACAGTGCCATGTATGATATTAAATTAACTTCTTGGGTCATGTTGTGCGATTCCCGAACTGTTCAATACCCTGAAGGTTGTCCAATTAATTCTCCACACTGCCAGCTTTTCCTGATCAGAACTCCAGCACTTGACTGTGTTCCCCCGCTGTCTGGCCCGCAGCGTGCTAATGTTTTCCAGCCGCTTATTCATCCTCTATTATTTATTTTATTCCCATAGGGAATTTTCACCTGAGTCAGGACAAAGCTGCAGAGGTTTGACGGTAACAGCCGACATGAGGCTGCCTGTCCTCCTACGATTCCTGATCAACCCTCCAGTTCACCCACCGGCTAATTCTGCTTCAGTGGAATTGAACTGGAACTGAGGAGAGTCATGGATATCAAATATGTGGGGAAAAAATCAATAACCGGCAAAAAGCAACCAGGGACACGCAACACTGGCCTGAGTCAGATTAGGACAAGAGAGGACCAGTTAAACAGTGAACTCACAAACAGATACACAGAAGTTATGTTTCTTTTAACCTTACACTTAAACATTAGGTGAAATTTAAAAGAACTGGATAAGCGGGTTTGAGCAGATATCGAGCTCAAGTTAATCTGTGGCTGTCACTGTGTAGGCATTACCTCAGAAGAAGAGACTGAATGACTCTCAGACACTTACTCATGCAGTTTGAAGAACGGTATTATGTCAGCCATGAATGCTTTGTAGCTGATGTTTTGGCTAACAAACTGAGATTGAACAACAGAGCATTATTGGTTATTTTAGTGATGAGTGTCAAGAAACCCTTCAGTTGCACAATATGAAAGGCTGACAGGTAACAAGATGTTTTAAAGACCTGTCTGCAAATGTGCAAGTGCCAGAGGGGAGGATTAAATGTTTTTTAGCCTCTTTTGGGGTTTTTCAAGAAGCATGAGACTTATAGGTTCAGTGTGTAGAATCTAGTGACATCTTAGTGTTGAGGTTGCATGTTGCAGCTGAACACCCCTCACCTCACCCTCCCCTTCCAAACAAATTAAAGAGAACCTGTGGCAGCTTCAGTTGTCATAAAAACTCAAAAGGTGTTTAGTTTGTCCAGTCTGGACTAATGAAAACAACATGGCGACCTCCGTAGAGAGGACCCCCTAAATATAAAGTATTTAAATATAAAGGGCCTTTTCTAGGGTAAAGAAAATTACAATTCATACAATTTAGATGAAACACACCAGTGAAAACATCATGAGGATTATTCTACATTAAATTTCTGCCAATAGTTCCCTTTCACCTAAATCTTACACACTGGACCTTAAAATGTAGAGTGAACTAGTTTATCAGAACCAGTCTGGTTGGAGGTGATTTTCCTGTTAAAGCAACATCAGACCAACATGGAGGGGTATTTATGTTGCCATCTGGCTCCATCTGCTGGGCTGACAGAGCAGAGTCTCAAAATCCACTTCAACTATAAAGCTGCTTTCAGACGTGAACATTCTTCTGACACATTCTGGATGGGCTCTACCCCTAGGTTACCTGCTGAAGTGGCTTGTGAGGCCGACCTGGAGGGGAGAAGATTGTTGTTTAAAGTTCTGGCGGTGTGTGTTACCTGGTATATTCTGAAGGGGATGTATCTGAAGCCTCCGTCCTCAGTGGGATATTCCATCAGCTTCCGGTTCATGGCCCAGAACTGGTCAAATTTATCTGTGATTATGAAAACAAATAATTGTAAAATATATTTTGAGACTTTTTAAAATAAAAATGTTGTTTTTCTTTACCATGCGGTGCATAACAAAATGCAACAGACATCACTTTTGAGCCAATTATGTTTCAATATATTCATTCCTGACAAGGGTGAGCAGCAGCAGGTGAGGAGGTGGGTTTGTAAGAATTGTGATGTACTGGATAATAACGTCAAGGGAAACACATGTTGTAGTACTAAAGTCCATTTAGCAATAGTTATTTTGCTTCCTGACACTTTCAGCTATATCACAAAGCTTCATTGTCAAAATGAAGACTGGAATGTAATGAGGAAGAAGTTTGATGTTATAGAAAAGGATATCTGTGTTTACCTCCACCCATTAACGTGGAGGTCAGAGGTTGGATTGAGGTGAGGGGAGGTGCAGGTTTCAAACCCTGCACCTCCCCTCACCTCTCACTTTCACACTAACCTTCTGAAAATGTTTTCTCTCTCCTGGAGGGAACTTTGAACTACCTCTGTTTCTCTCTCTCTCTCTGTTTCTGGTCTCTTTTGGACGTGAAAGTTTTGGTTTAAGAAATGTTTCATCTCTCACTTTCATGTGTAACAAACTCCTCCTGTTTGGATCAGTTGTACATTTCTGTTTAAAAGTAACAATCGTTTCCAGTGAAAAGCAACGTGAACCACACCCTGAACTTTTTATACAAACAGTTCATAGCATCATCATCCGTTTGGCTCTGCAGGTTGGAGCCTCTCAAGTGTGAGGACTTTCCATTTAATATCAAAATTTAAATCTATTGATAGTCTTCAACGTTATCCTTGGGATTTCAGGAATGTTTTTTTGATTTTGACATTTGATGAACTAAACAATTCATCATGTTTTCAATATCAAACTGTTTGTGCAAACTTACTCAGAACTTGTTAATATATATATTTATGTTTCAGCTTTTAGGGAATAAAGTCGTAACTTAGTAAAGACGTAAGTTATTACCTGCTAACAACTGCTGATAAAAAAAAATATATAGGGCGACTAACGAAGTAGCTGAAGACGCAGCGAAGTATTTGTTACGGGCCACTGCAGGAAGCACCTCCATCACTGGTGGATGAGGCGTTTATTAAAGCCGCGCTTCATCAACTTGAGCTGTTCTGAGGAATCTCACACCACATGCAGGGTTCATCCTGTGTGTGTGTGTGTGTGTGTGTGTGTGTGTGTGCGTGCGTGTCTCACCGTTCTGCAGACCCATCCACAGCTGTTTGTGGTCTTTCTTCTGCATGTCGTTAACAACTTGGCTCTTGTGCTTGAGGGCGTCGGCCTCCTTGATGCTGGACATGAAGTGAGCCTCGATCACAGAGTTGGACGGACAGTGGAGGAGGTCACGATCTGGAAAATTCTGACAAACATTCACCATAATTGCATTTTATTTGAAGCTGCATTATCCATCTACGTATTTATTTTTTACCACTGAGAAGCAGAAGAACTTCAAAACAAAGGGGTCAAAATATTAGTTTTCAAAGGTACAAATCTAATTTTTGTGGTTGTTTAGCTGTTGTCCCATCAAACTAAATCAACACACAGTCGCGTGGTTTTGCTTTAGAAACAGAGACTTTTGTAACCAATGATGCACGCGCCCACGTTCTCTTCCTGATTGGCTCTTATTCATCACATGAAGCGACTACCAGCCCTGAAGGCGAAGCTCTGCCAACACTTATACACTTACAATTCCACCTCCTCGTAGCTTCAAGCTAAAAAATCCCTGCTCTTACATTTCAACATGCTGTTCCTCCTTCGTAGTATTTGCTGTAACTAAGTGACCCACTGCAACGTAGACAATCTACTTCCTGTTTACATGACCAGTGTACTTGAAAAACTCATCTGGACCGACGGCTGTTCATAATAATATATGCTAGTGTGATGAAGCCATAGTTTGGTGCAAATTGGTTCAGTACTTTCAGCTTAATTCTACTAACAGATAAATAAACAGACATGAGTGAAAACAAAAGGTCATAAGCTTTAAAAGGCTAAGAAGCTAAAATAGAATTGATATAGATAAAAATGAATTGTTGCTACTGTGCATGCTCACACATTCACACTTACTTTAAAGTGCACGGTGATGCTCCAGGGTAAGACCGTGTTGGAGGCGTGGAGGTCAAAGAGAACTCCAATTGGATAGTGCCTGCAACCAGGAAACGCAAAACTTTTTAGTGTCTACCTGAACTATTCCAAAGTCCTGGGGTGCATGCAGAAAGCTGACAAACTAATGACATTAATCCAGAAATTAATCCTATTAAGTCAAAAAAACTGCTTTTCTCAAGTCAATGCAATAAACTTCTGTAAAACCAGATGATGTTTTTCTCACAGAATTTTAATTATAATGAAAGATCTTCATATAAAGCTCCAGCAAACAGAACTGGTGTCAGTATTCTTTATCTTAATGTCTAGATCTAGTTTTCACTTTCTGCGTATTTTTGAGGCTTTATATTGTGCTGCCACACACACAGTAACCATTATAGTCATTTAGTTCTAGATCTGATAAAGCCAACCAGCCTGGTAAGAGATGAGAGCCAAGGTATCTGTAATTACCATCAACTTATGCGTCGCTGCTCACTGAGAATGAATTGACTCATAGAGCTTCTCTCTACAGGTGGGTGTGAACACACTCTTATAGCTCTGACTGGGCGAGATGTGTTTAAATAAGGCAGTTCAACAAGGTACAGAGGCGAGGCAGAGATGATTTAAAGTTACAAGAGACAGATTTTATGAGATAAATATTCTGCTCTGATTGGCATTTGTATTGTGATACTGTAGGTCAAAGTCCTCTCACCATTTCAGTGGCGTTCCTTCATACTCTAACCACATCTCCTCCACGTCCTCGGCCTTCATCACTTTGAGGAAGTGTTTTTTCACTTTGTCTGTGACCAGCGTCAGGTAGCTCACCCTGGGCAGCAGCAGCTGCAGAGAGCAAAGAGGGGAGAGAGAGGAGACGCATCATTAAAACACTGCAGTCTGTTCCCGTGCGCTGGCATTTGAGACTAAATTTAGATTTTTCTACTGTAGGTACAACTTTTGTTTCAAACAAAACCATGAGAGAGAAAAGCTCCCTTACCTTAAAAAGTACTAAATGTTTAGGAACATATCCCAGACCTGCCTGTTCAGGCTTTATGGTGGCTGGTCACTTCCACACCAGGCTACGTGACAGTGCGTTAAAACTAAACAAAATAACAAGTTGTAGAACAGGAACTTGCGGCACCACTTCATTTTGAGCTGCAAGTTTAAAACATGCACTCCGGAAACTATCCGGAGGGGCTGTATGTGGAAACACACATGTCCGAGTCAGCTGCTGCAGACATTCTCTGGAATTTCTCCTGCCAACAACTTGTGATTTCTGCAGCTGAGTTTTTTGTCACGTCTTGACTCCTGCTGCTCTACCTGAATGTCATCTAAAAGACATCTAAAATCTCAAATCGTGTTGTCTCTCCAAGTTGTCACTTTCATTTGCATCTTCGACGTGTGTGGCTCCTCATTTTCATCGTGAGATATAAGTACTGTTTTTATAAACGTTTGTGTGTGTCACTAGTAGAAATGTAATCACTTGCTTTCTGTGAATTTTCGGGACATTTTTTCCTGCTGTGTTCTCACATGCACTCACACAGGAACACTGACATTTAACAGACGTCTGGCAGGAACAGTCTTGGAAATACCAAGAGCAGATGGAAACATGGAGTAAATGATGCAGTTTGGAGTTGGATTAGAATGTCGGGGCTGACCATCATAGTGGTGAGTAGATCATGAGTGGATTTACTGGGTGAACTGTCCCTTTAGCCTCGGGTTTAGTGGCCGGGTGATGTCACAGAGCACCTGTACTCACATAGTAGGGCTCGGCCTCTCTCTCAGTCACCTCGTCCTGGTTCAGGGTGAAGCAGGCGGGGATCCGGCCGAACCACACGTCCCTCAACACGTCCTTGTCATCTGCCATGCTGCCTCCGCTCCCAGTGGCACATAAAGACCCGGTTCTCCAAACACTGGAGGGACAGGACACCTCCCGCCTGTCGACAACACAGCAAAAACACAAGACGGTCAGGAAACTTCCAGCAGCTCAAACCCGCTGCGAGAGCGGCGGTGCAAGCACCAGCTAGCACCGCTTCACAGGAAGTTCATGTTAGGTGAGGCAGCGAGGTCGTATTGAACTCATCAGGGGGGGGGGGGGTTATTACCACGTTATTAGTGGAGTAGACGGAAGTTGATTCACAACAACAACAAGCTGTCAAACCACGCAGCTGGGAAGCAAACACTGGCGTTAGCTCGAGGGCTAGGTGAGCTAGCTCAACCGGTGGAAACACAGCGAGGAAAGCGTTGCGGGCTGATTAAGAAGTGGCTCCCGCCTGTAGCCTGGCGTCAGTGTGGAAAAAAACACCGGACCCCCGTGGACGGAGCAACGACAGGAAACACTTACTTTCGGTGGATGTTTCTCGGGCAGCTCGGAGGGAAGAAGGCCCGCGACTGTCGATGTTGTCATTCCACTGCTGAGAACCTCGGCTCCCCGCAGAACCACGACCCCTAGCGACAGAAACACGTTCGACCCGTCAGCGCGGTTGTTTTCTACTAAAGTGAATTTTCTAACTCAATGATCTGCCTGTTTTGAGTTCATGTAATGTTATTATTATTATTATTGAAAACCTGATCTACAAACGTCAAGTCATAACAAGGCACATTATGCACCAATTCAATTGTATGAACTAATAATAATACAAAAAAGAACACATGGAATAAGTCTGTTCTCTTTTGGTTCCACAGTCTGTGTCATCTTAAATTATTTTCATTGCAAAATACAAATCTTACAAGCAACATCCTTCTTTCAATTAAAACAAAAGCTGAGTACAGGGCAGAGACTTGTTATCGTGCAAGGTTACAAAAATTAGCAGGAAATAAAGTGCAAAATAAATTTAAAAAAAATATTAATATAAAAAAGGATGTTTAAAAAAAATGAATTCAATGCCTGTTCGGGGTCCAGTTGAAAGATGAGTTTATAATATGTTCGGATAAGAGTTTTTTTTAGAATTTATCAATTTCAATGAGCCTTGTGAAGATAGTTATTTCAAAGAGAGTGTGGGGTGGTTTTTAGAAATGTACAGTCAAATTATTGCAAAATAAAATCCAGGTTTCTGTCCTCCACTATAAGATCTAATTTAATAGTTATAACACCCAGTTAATATTAATATTTATAACACCCAATTTCTCCTTCTCATATAGATGCACACCAAGAGAACATCAGTTGTTTCTTTTTCTGCCATAAAGAATAAACACAGTAAAATATCATCCATCGTTTTAAATGTTCTTCTTTAGCTTCAGGAAAATAAATTTGTGAAATAGAAATAAATGTATTTCTAAACATGTTGCAATTGCGTCATCACACCGGTGGAGGGAAACCCAGCCCCAACCCTCCCTCTGATTGGCTCACTCCGCTACTGACACATTCTCACAACCAATCAACGCGCTTCGTGCTCAACCGCACACTGAAATCTGACCAATCAGCGACGTCTCAAGGGGCGGGTCTTCCCTGGGCACGGGTGGGGACATAAACAGAAGAAGCTGTGTTGCTCCTCTGCGGCTCGGTTGTGGGATAGAGAGAAAAATGGATAAAAAGATGGAGACAGAGGATCTGGAGACGCGTCTTCACACTCTGGAGAGTCGAGTTTATGGCGAAAGAAGAAACAAAAGTGGAAAACCCGCCAAGGTTCGTTCAGAATCACTTAATGACCGGAGGGGCCCTGTTCAGAAGCCTGCTAGCTTAGCTGCTAGCTCAGCGAGGCTAACGACCCTGTCACTGGAAATAAACCGAGGATGGATGGATGGACAGATGAAAGATAGAAAGAAGGAAAGAAAGAATCATAAAAGGTCTAAATGACTGCAGCGAAATGAAAGTCAGCAGAACCACAACAAAGCTGTCGCTATAAAGAAGTATGGTGGAGATATATTTGTTTGAGGAGATTGAAAGACACAAGTGACCGAGACAGTGTTGAAGCCAAACGTCAACACAGATTTAAAGATGAGTAACTGAAGCTGTAGAAACACGAGCAGTCTGTAAAGCGACTACGACTATTCAGAACTATTTTATTCGAGGCCGTGAAAACAATCTGGCGAAAGGCTGGAACACGGTCATTCGCTAGCTAGCTAACAGGCCATTCGTAAGCTTAGCCTCCCAGTTAATCAACAAAGCCCCAGTGTCACATGTAAAGTTAGGTTTAATGTTATTGTGCTGAATGTTGCTGCTGAAAGTGGCTCTAATCACACAAAAGCACATGTTTACCTTCTGCGTCCCCGCGTTGGAATGAACAAATGAAATAGGGCGTTTGCTTATTTCCAGTGACAGAGCTGTCGTTGGCTCGGCTAAGCTAGCAGCTAGCTAGTCTCTAAACAGCTTCTCCCTTTGCACATCGGCTTGTTTGTTCAATGTAAATGTGTCAGATGCTGTAATAACTGTTGTCTTGTTGCAAACTTCTACACGTCACAGGTTATTTGCTAGCTAGCTGTTTGCTAGCTGTAGCTTTCAGTGTGTGTGTGTGTTATGAATAATGCTAAAGTGTCAAACAATACATCGACATGATACTTGGTGAAGTAAGTAATCGAGTTAAGCATATCCTATTTCATCTTCTCAAATCTCAAGATTAGCAGTAACAAGAGGAACCCACTTGAAAAATAAAAGCATACATGGTGTATAAGATAACATTTATTTGTATCTCAAAGTAAATTCTAAACGAACTGAAATTATTTCTGGAAATTTAATTGATCAACTATTAACTGTGCGTTAATATTATACAGTTTATATATGTCAGAGCAGATTGGCTAAGAAGATTGAATGTTTCTCCTGAGCCACTAAGTGGGGCGTCTCATCAGAGCATCATATGATGAGAAAAATACTTGCAGCTAACAAAGGGGAATTGATGTGGATTTGTTTTGTGGTAAATATATTTCCAAGGATGGAACAATGTGCCACTGTGTCCTTCTCCAGTTGTGTTTTTTGTTTCCTAAAGCTGACAGTAAATTGCATGCTTAAATACAGTAACGACTCAAAACCATGTTCATTCTTTTTGTTTTCGAAACACTTTTGAAATTAAGTGCACATATTAAAATGCCTTTTCATTATGTTGCTTGCTACATGTCATCAGTGTTTTTTATTCTATGTTGGGTGCGTAGTGCTACCAATGACACTCATAAGGTTGCTCCAACACAGTAACGAAAAGCACTTAAATACATTTTTGGTACCCTCTATGTTGGCTTATGATAAATCTGATCAATGTTCTCTGTTCTGCAGTGTGCAGAGTCTTTGGTCAGGATCCAGGCAGGTCTGACAAACACAGCCAACAAAAGAGAACGAGTAAAGATCCTGCACAAGAAGAGTGAGTCACAAAGCGTTTTTCATCAGCACTGACAACCTAGATTACACAGAAACACGGTGTAACTTTTTATTTTCATAAAAAAATAATCCAAAATCAAGATGGTCAAAGAGGATGTGACGAAACATTGAAACAGTTCTTCCTGAGTCATGTCAGGCTACACTATTAAAATGAATCATAAACTAATTTCCCTCATGTTTCCCACTGAACATTAAAAATGCTAAGTGTTCACAGTATGTGAAAAGTGGTGTAAAGTGCAAATTTGAACTAAAAAATGTCACGATAGTCAGATTTTCGACTTTGTTTGTTGAGTACATTGTTGTTGTGGTGCAGTTGAGGACCTTATGAAGTACCTGGACCCCCAGTTCACGGACCACATCACCGTACCTGACGCTATGAAATTGGAGTTCATCCTCGCTGGTAGGAAGCAGATGGAATTCTGGGACAGATTAATCAAATGAAAGACAACACCTATTTATTTGCAGTTTCTATTTTGCGTTAAGTTTCTATGTCTTTTACTAGTAAAGCTTAGTATTGATAGAATACATTATGTAATTTATCACATACTCAGTACTCATTGTGATGCTGTTGTGTGTACAGAGGAGGACTTCCTGCTCTCCCAGGCTGCTTTGCTGGAGCAGGTCAGCAGCCTCCAGCCGCTGCTGGACAGCACCTACATCAGAGGTGAGTTTCACCCGACAGGTCATCATGAAACTCAAGGACAAAGCACTTCAGTATTGTAGGTTAATCCCGCATGTATTTCTGTTGTTCACAGATGTACCAGAGCACGCTACCAAGTTGCAGCGTCTATCTCAGATTCACATTAAAGAACAGGTAACCACCTTTTCTTCATTTGTCCACCTCTTTTTGTTTGTGTGTGTGTGTGTCTCTCTCTCTCTCTCTCTCATTTAATTTGTTGACTCCTCTGTTTTTGTACAGGACCAAACTGAAGTTCAGTCGCAAGAAGTAAAGAAGCTTTTTGAGGAATACAACAAAATGGTACAATTGTTTTTCTACCACAAGTCAAAATATCAGACACAAACTATTGAAGAGCTATAAGAATGTTAAATGTCATATTGTTACACACTTTGGTTTTCGTCTCATGTCTCCAGAGATAAAAGACATGGATAAATGATACCTTAATGCATTAATCATCCTTTTTGCATTTCTGTTGTGAAGCTTATTTATCTAATAAACACAAACTTATATGACCTTAACGCACTGTGAAGGAATGTCCACCTTGTCTCACTGACCTCTGACCAGCCAGGAACAAAAGCTCCTCCCACTGACCCTTTGAAATGTGATTGACAGATGTTCCTGCTGTCCAAGCAGTTCACCCAATGGGACGAGACCCTGAGAAAGATGGAGGAGGCTAAGGGCATCCGGCCTGTGGAGTAGTAATGGCCAATGCACACTTCTGATGAGGATGGTGACAGTGAAGAAGACGGCTCTGTGGTGGGAGCTTTAGACCAGACAAGTGTTTCATATGTTGCTTTTTTCCCTAATAAGTCAGTAAAAATGAGACACAAAAACAACTAAAACATCTGGGAGTTCGATAGAACGAAGAAATTAAATGAACAAATACATTTTAGATTTCTGTCATCACAGCTGCAGACTGATGTGTTGGTGCTGTTGTCCAGAATGTGTCACTTATCCTGTACCACTCATCCAATCCCACTTGTACAGTAAAAGTCTTCAGCCACCTGAAGAATCTGGCTCCCATCACGTGACGTGTGGCTCAGACAGCTCGGAGATGCCGCTGTTTATTTATTTTAAGATACGTTTTTTTTTATTCTTGTATGTTGACTTCAGTTTTAATGCATTCCAACATTTATTCTCTGCTGCAAGTCTATCATAACACTCGATCCCACAAAACCATAAAGTAGCTTTGCTATTCGTACCAGAGTACTGATTTAAACTACAAAAACTGTCCCATACGTGTAACATGTCAAATAGCATGACTGTAGTTGATACAATAAATATTATTACATGATTTGTTGGAGTATTCCTGTGTGTGATTATATATTTTTTTCATAACCTGTTTGATAATGCAGATAAATTCATGAAACCTCGTGTCTTTTAATGCCTTTGGCCTTCCTGCGTATATTTGTTTGCAGATGCAGATTTCCACCAAACTTCCCATTAAATATTGGTGCAGTAAAGTAAGTGTGGGATCCAGGATTTATATTTTTCTCTTGAATTAGGTTTATGCGTCAAATTATGTGTTGTTTGCTGTTGTAATTTGAAGATGGAAGTGAACCTAATGCATGTTTCAATCTCTAGAGTATGTTTTTGAACAACAACCAAAACACAAAGATATTTAATTTAGAAGATCTACATTAGAAATAAGTAATAAATCAACATTTAATGAGGAATCTGTTGATCGACTGGTCAATTACTTGTTTTTTTGCAGTTGTCTGTGTATCGTCAGAGGTTAAAGTGCCCACTGGTTTGTGAGCTGCCATTTTCAAACCTCAAGTTTGGCATTTTGTCCAGCGCCATCTTTTTGAAATCAATAGTAACCATATTCGGAGGAGGTGGAGCCTGACTGACTCTATGCCCACCTACACCTTCAACCTGGACCCATTGGATGACAGTACCTGTCAGTTACATGACATCAACGCTCCAGTGCACACGGTACTTTATGCTGTATTTGACTCTAAATAGGACCATATCAAGTATTTTGTATTATGAGGGTCGCTAAGCAGGATCTGTTAAGTTTTGATCAAATGAAAAACGTGAATGTTGCTGTAATTCTCAATCCCCTTTTTCATAGCGGTTCTGTGTGTTGAGTTATTTCCTGCTGTTTCCTTTGCCCTTCTACTTAATCACCAGTCAAGTTGAACTGTAAAAAAACAAAAGTCATTATTAATATAATTCAATGTGGTATTATGGGCCATTGAATTGAATTGAATTGAACCATCAGGCTGACGGCCAAATGGAAATACTATGGTCACCTTTATCTCAGACAGAGACACACTAAACTTTCACAGGTCAGTTATGACTGGTAAGACATTTAAATATCTTTGCTATAAATGCATTTTAATTAAAAAGCTCTTGTCTCAAAACAAATGAACCTTTCACCAGAGAGTCATAAAAGACATTTACTCTGTAACTGCCACTAGATATCCAGGTCATCATATTGGAAATTATACAAAAGCCTTGTTCTCTTTGGAGCGACAGCTGGTGCCCAACAGTCAAATGTCAAGTATCAGCTAATCTTCTTTGTTTTAGTTTTTAATACTCCGTCTTTGCAGTTGATTTAAATTTCCATCACCCTGACTCGATAGAGTGAAACAGAAATTATATTGGTTTTAGATATGACAAATGAGTGTGGACATCGCCAGGTAGTGGGGGCCAATAGATTAGAAATTGCTGATCTAAGTGCATTTAGTTCAGTAAAAGCTTATAACTTATATTCTAAAAGTTATATTCTATATATTATAGAATGTATTCCTATTTGTGATATATTATACACTTATATTCTATTACTAAGCCGCCATTACAGTTGAAATAAACGTTGACCAATTCTTCAAACATAAAAACATACAAGGCCTCTGTGCTGTTCCTGTGGTGTCATGTAGGATCACGAGTTCCTGCAGCAGTAGATAATGAGTGAATTTAAATTTCTGTGTGAACTATCCCCTTTAGTTGTTTTTATTCACAACACATTTCTTATTTCATTTCACTTCATTCTTCTTGCACCGATTCACCTTGACTCGTGCTCTGTGTGTGTGTGTGGTATTTCCGGTATGAGCGGAAGTGCCTTTACTTTGAAGGGCAGGCAGTAAACGGCGGAGCTGATGAAGCCTCTGAAGATGGAGGAGATTTAATTTTAATCTTTTTTTTTTTTTAATAATCGACCTCCTGCCTCAGATGTAACGCGGTGGTGAGTTCGGCGGTAACGAACACGTAGACATGTTGTTTGTTGGCCTCGCTGACAGGTTTGCCAGCTCGTGTGTTGCTGCCAACGCGTAGAAGTTGTCAAGAAGAGTTAGCTTAACGGCTAAAGTAGAGCTAGCTACGTCCACGTAACGTGTGTTTTTGTGGTTAACTCAACGGTGCACGTGGTGACGAGTCGCCGGTTTCTTATTAATGTTGAATCTCTGAGTTATTTCAAGTTGTTGTCTTCCTCGTGTTGGTTCAGTGGGTTTTGTAACTTCTACAGAGTGACTGGTCCTGCGCGTAGACGATCTTGGGCGGCAGGAGGACGGAAGCCGCCTGTCGTCAGAGGACAGCACCGGGACAGGAGCAGGACCGGGACAGGGGACAAGGGCAGGACCAGGACAGGACTCTCTAAGCGGCGGGCTGCTCGGGTCGTGTCGGCTGTGTGGAGCAGCAGCAGCAGAGGACCGTCATGGACAGAACGGCCGTGGTGAAGGTCGGAGCCGCGGCCAGCGCCAGTGTGTGCGCCCTGTTCGGCGGCGTGGTCCTGGCGCAGTACATCGTCGCCAAGAAGAAACGAGCGGGCAAGAAAACCAGGATCATCGAGATGGTGAGTTCAGTAAAAAGGAAAACACGCTTCACACACGACAAGGCGAGGTCACACACAGGAAGTGAAGAGGACGAGCCTTCAGATAAAAGCTCGGCAGCTCCCTGGAGGTGTTTAATAGCAGAATGAATATCAGGATCATGTGTACTATTCCAAATAACATTCACCCTTAATACTTTTACTGTCACTTGTGAAATACTCGTTTTCTCTGATATATTTAAGACTTAATACTATTGTTTTATTCTCTTCAGTCTATTATATGCTGTGTTATTGTAATCTTGGGAGAAAACCGGCATCAGGATTAATACACTTGTTTTATTACTATTACTAATAATTATTTTCCCTTCAGTCTGGAGATGTGTTTCTAGACTTTAATACTTATAATAACTTTGCAACACAAAGTGCTACACAGCAGAAAACAAACGGTTCAAAGACAGAAGGAAATACATTAGTAATAAAGGTAATAATAAAAGAACAATAATAACCTACTAACACAATTATATTCAGAAATATGCCCTGTGAATTAAAAGATTTAAAAGAAGACGTAGGCCAAGAATTGAGTTGCAGAGTAGTTGCTGATTAGTTTTCTGCCAATTGAATGATTTATTTATGTTACAGCTATAACTGCATTGTGAATGTTTTGGTGTAAAAAGCCAATTACATCAAACTTAAGGATTTGTTTGAACTTTGACCTGAATAGAGCAAGTCAAGTACCATATATATTGAAAATCTAAAAGACCCCATGCAATACACTCAGAATGTTGCAACACAAATGCCCCTTTTATTTTGAAATTCACGAATGGAACTCCTATGCTTGTGCTCCCAGTATCTTGACTGCACAATGGTGTACGCTGGCATAAATGGTCAAACAGCAGCTGCTTTTAGAGGTCACCAGCCTGCCTTTCTCCAAACACAGAGGGCAGCAGCTTTTCAGTTCGACACCACGAAGCCGGAGCAAGTGTGTCGGTGATGCTCTCCACAGTCGGTTCACTGTGCTGGAAGCTGCTTCGTGCTGCTGTCTGTTGTTGAGAGTCATACAGGTTATGCAAGCTGCAGCAGCACATCAGTCCAGCTTCCTAACCAGACCGACAGGAATGAGGCCGACCTGCTGAACAATAAACATTCCTCACAAACTGAAGAATATTAGAGACGTAGGGACAAAAGTGTGTTTAAGATTTAAATGCAAAATATACAGAAGGAAAAAGAAACACAAAACACCTCTTCATCGTTAAGTGTATGGCACCTTAGTGTTTAGATTGGTTTGTCGAGGTGTTTTTAATGTGCATGTGTAAATAGATAAACCCACGTTTTATTCCTGTATGGGCAGGAAAGGTGAGAGAGACTTAAATCTTATGTTTCTGAATTTATTTCTAAAACATAAATCACAGTGTGTAAAGACGTTGTTTTATTACTTTTGATTTAATTTACCAGCCGTCCTTATAATACCCTTGGATATGTAGTTGAAGAAATAAGAAGATGATTATTCGTATCTATTTTGTCATGATATAGTTTGTAATCCGTGTCATGTGGATGTTAAACTAAAGAAGATATTTAGGTTGCGCAGCTGTTAGAAGGTATTGCTCTATACTGTGTCTGAACTGGTATCTGTGAGTCATCTCTGAGTTATTTGGCTCCACCTACAAAATCCTCCCATTTCTATATTTTGTCTACCCATAGTTTCTTGCACAAACAGTTGATCAGCTTATAAAATGGCTTATTTTGTTATTATTGCTTGTAATTTCCCTGGCAGGACATCTCCTCTCATGATGTCCTGATGTCATCTCTGAAAGATAAGACACAAACATTGCGCACCTTGTGAAGACTCTGACTTGATTTCTTATGACGCTCAGTGTCCTAACTGCGTCGACTGATCAGCTGACTTCTGTTTTTACAACAGAGTGCGCAGGATGAATAGATTTAGCTTCTTTAACAGAGCTGGACAATCAAAAAAGAGTTGGATTTAAGTCTTCTAGAGCAAATTTGATGCAGTTTTATTGAGCTGTTTATTTTCAGGTAAAACCCCAAATGATTAACTCACCAAATCAATCAGTCGACATGTTTACATGGACACCGTTAATCTGATATTTACCCAATTCAGAGAATTCTATCTATTATATCTTTGCTATCTCTTTTTATAATGTGATCTAATGGTGAAAGAACGACACAGTCCATGTTTTGGATGAAGTAGCCACTGGCTACTTCACAGTTTCCTGCTGGGTCCTTCAGAATGGAAGAATGTGGCCATCTGTTTTTGATGATTCTGTGGAAGAAGGACAAACATCCGCTTTGAATCCCAGGAGATTACAAACCATATGACAGCATCTCAGTTTAGCCTTTAGTGTTCTGTCCTGGGGGGGGTAATGTTTTTATGTGGACATTCCTTTCAGTGAGATTCTTGCAACTCACATTTTTCTTCATTGCTAAAAGTCACTGTTTATCCACGACCTGATCGTAAACCAGCCCGACTTTGTTTGTTGGTTGATGTTGGTGATTTTGTTTGTAACTGCTCAAACTGCAGCAACTTCCAAATGAAACAACACGAGTATCCATTATTATGGAAGTCAGCGATCAGAACACATGATGACAGATGCAACCGATGTTTTGTTTAATGCTGTCCAAGGTATTGATAATGAATCCATCTGTACAGCAGAGGATTCTAAAACCCATCGCTTGAACAACGCTTTCTATGCAAACGGAAACAGAGAATGTGGAATGTTACGCATGACACATGTTTGTAGTTGCTTTCTTTATGAGCGTGTTTTCAGTCTGATGCCTGGTTTCAAGCTGCTGCTTGCTTCTCCAAAACTTTTCACTTTCATCAGCATTTTAAAATTCGTTTTCTGTAGAAAGCTCATTTGTAATGATGGATTGCAGCTGATTTCATTTTGACATACATTTTGAGCAATTGCTTTATTTGTGTTGAAAGGAGTTCGTCAGGGATTGAACCAACAACCCTGATGATTAACTGCTGGCTCCAAACATTTTTAATCCTGTTAAATCCAGTTAATGAAGCTAATGAAGCCAACACATGTTTTTTTTGGAGATCCACATGAACAATTTGTTTAAAATGCACTGAAAATAAGTTTTCATTGTGAAACAGATGACAGATTTGATAACACAGGGATTGAGTTATGCTTGCATTTATCTTTTTCTCAGTGCGAGTGGAATCTACCGTGTCTCTTCACTGTTGAACACATGAGATTATAGATAGACATGGGTGCTGTCTCACAGAGTCATGGTCATATTAGTCACAGCAGCTCCACGCTGTCTGTGACTCAAGTTGATGCTGTAGATGTGTCATGTGTGGGTCTTTAACGATTTATCTTTGTGAGCCGGCTCCTTTTATGAGAACGACAGCAAATGTCTTTCCTTTTTTGTTAATTTTTCACAATTCATCGTTCTCAAATTCGATGGAGAAAAGCACAAATACAAAAGTTAAGGCAATGGGCGGATCTAGTGTTCATTTTCCAAAAATAAAGTTGAACAACTACCAAAGTTAAATGATAGACTATATGCTCTATGACGCTTTCATCAAAATATAATCAAATACAATTGCAAACGGATCTCAGTTCCAACAAATGTCACACTAAGCTATGCCAGTGAGTCAGTGTTGTTAGTACCGTGCTGCTGGAACTTGTTTTTAATGTTTTCAACCCAACCCTAACTTTCTTTCTTTCTTGCTTTGACAAGCTGAAGAGTCTGATGTTGCAACGGTCTGCTGCTCTGCCTGTTGAAGTGTGTGTCACTCTGTTGAACTCCAGAGGGCAGCACAGAGCTTCACTTGAACCTCAGGTTTTGCTTTTGAAAAATAAGCCTGATTTTGTGTTTGTCAGACTCAGACTTTGTAGGTCAGAGTCAGAAACAATTTGTTTTGCTGATGAGCAACAGCACGACGTTCCATGCTGATGGCAGCAATGCTTCACATGTGATGTGCAGTTCTTCTGTTATCTTCTTAATGATGAATGATGCCCAGGGATCCATGATTCCCTGGGAAATTGGTCGAATCCTGTTATGCTGAGAAGAAGAAAAAAAACTTCGATCTGCCCTTTTTTCTGAATCCACCACAACATTTCATGGATTGATTCTAGGCCAACGTCCCATCCTTCCACCAAGTTTTGTGGAAATCTAATAAATCATAATATATTTTGTTAACTTCTCACAAAGGTACAAGTCAGATGACATTTTGTGGGTTATCAAGTTGTTATTTTACCAAAATCTCTGAAATGATATTGTGAATGTATGAAAATGTGCAGTACATCTTTTATGGATTTTTGTTAAATAAGTATAATAAGTCAGTAGCTGAGGATTTTTTTTTGTCAGTGATTAACAAAAGGATGAAGTGATATACAAGAAACATTTGCACAGGCCAGCAATTAAGATGGTTAAGTTTCAGCAGAAGAATAATTTTAGGCCTTTAAACGGGCGGATCCAGCTTGGCTGTTGTTGCCACTTCCTCAAGTGGCCATGCTGCTTTATCAGTAGCAACAGATGGCTGTCGCTGCGCCAAGAGATCAATTAATAGCGTGAGTCCCACCACAGCAAACCGAAGGGCCTTCGTGTAAAAACAACCGCTACATCCCCCATTCTTAACACTATGAACGTTGCTTTCATGTCAAGTAAAAGGCAGAAGTAGAATTTGAGGAAAGCAGCACCTGGAGAATTTCTATGGTGCACACACCAGAGATTTAAGTCATAACTCAACTTCAGCATTTTATTTGTCGTCACCTTGGTGCTGCAAGATTAAAGTGATCAGCACCTACACATTTTGAACAGGCACTGCACTAGTCTGATTAAAACATCACTGGGATCAGTCATCTTGAGTTCGTGTCGAGGGGTATCGAACAACAGCTCATTAGCTTTAACCTGTCGTAGGGTGGAGTAAAACTCTCCGCAGGGTGCTGGACGTTGTCCTTGATGACATTTGACCCCCAGCATACCAAAGCTGTGTGACAGCAGCACGAAACTGAAATGAGAGTCAGTGACCTTTGTCCAGACTCGTTCAGATCAGGTGGGATTTCAGAGGAATGCTGGGAGAAGGTTGAAGAGGTCCTGTTTCAAGTCAAGTTTTCTCCTTCGCTTTGTCTTGTCATGTAAATGAGACCTAAGGCAAAGAGAAAGCACAGGATGGTATTGGAACAGATAGAGTGAAATACTGGGAGAGTGTTTGGTGAAGATGCACGAAAGGTACGAGGGATATTCACCATCTTGTCCTATATTCTAAAACTGTTATTGTGGGGGGGTGTAACCAGAGAGCGTCGACCTCGTTTTTGGGACTCGTGGTATGCAGGACGGTCGGGGTCAGTCGAGCAGAGGAGAGGATGAGCTGGACTCAGGTTCAAGTCTCAAGAGTAGTTCAGCAAAAATCAAGTCTGGGACAATGTAATGATCCACCGAAGTTCAGATGGAAAAACATTTTAGTTTTCTGGGTTATCTGCTCACAAGATGTGATTTAAAGTCTGTGAGGCTTTTGTTTGGGATTGTTGTGGCTTAAAATACTTGATTTCATAGCAGCTTTTATAAAATATGTTTTAATAGCATTTTCAGTAAATCTGTGCAGAATGTCAGGGGAACGTTTTTTTAGCAGCGGCATTTGTTCGTGTCACAGTTCTGCATTTCTACAACCAAAATCAAAGAAGCGAGTGTGGTGACGTACGTGTGAGCGGCTCAACATTACTCCTGTGGCACTGCTCAGTGGAAACTTTTATGTTTAGTAAAATTTGTGATGAAGTTGCGGTGATTAGTGTGATATCACATTTATTCCACAAAAGAACTATTGGTAAATCTGTGTGTGTGTGTGGGTGTGGGTGTGGGTGTGTGTGTGGGTGGATGATTGTGTGTGATTGACCATTGTAAGTCCGAACAGCATGGTGGTGAACCTTGACCCAAGTGACCTTTCATGCAGCACAAGGTATTTACTGCACGTGTGCCTGTGTGCAGGGGGAGAGTGTGTGTCTTGTGTATTGAAATGTGTGTACTCAGCAGAGTTTTGAAGCGAGTTGTCCCCCTCTAATTGATTTTAAAGGTTTCTTTTTCAAGAGGTCAAAGGTCACGTTATTAAAACAAGCGTACACTACTTCTCCTCCACTGGCCCCATTCCATGTCTATTTATGCTGAACTATGTGCGTTCGAGTGTGTTGACATGGGTCAGCTGAAATTGTTACTGTGTGTGTGCGTGTGTGTGTGAGCGACATCACACAGAGGGGAGGGGTTATGTTGTCTAATCTCTTTTGGTTGCGGCCCCCCCCCTCCCTGACTCTTGCTGTAGATATAAAAACCCTCTGCAGCCACACAATCTTTTTGCACTCTTGTGTTTGCTGAGACAACAGACCCGAGGTAAGTGTGTGTGTGTGTGTGTACGTGTGCGTGCATGTGTGTACATTTGTGTTACTGCTTCAGGCTTCCTCGCTTGTAGTTGCTTTAAAGAACAGTTAATGCTGCAAATTCTTGCTGTCGATCATTTAAAAAAGCCCCCTCTTCAATATTTCTTCTTCTTCTTCTCTTGTAATTAAGATGCTTTGACCTTTGACCTTTTTATGCTATAAGCTTTTTTGCTATGACGATCATGTCTGTTAAATTGTGCAAAAATACTCACAGAACAGCCACAGGACTGTCAAGCAGCACATCTGATATTTGGAGTGGAGTGGTATTGAATCTCCAGTACAACAACAGGGTTTCATGTCTCCAGAGAGCTTGCTCACAGTTTAGGGGGAAAGCAGGTTTGAATTTCACTGCCTCCAGGGGAACACACCCTTCAAACTCTGCTGCCGTGTCACATTTGTTCAGAAACTACAGGTTAAGTGATTCAGCAAACGTAGTAAATTCATCGTCAACACCATCAAAACATTTAGAAACAAACGTCCAGGAATGAGACTGATTTTGTCTTTTCTCTCTCCTTTGCAGCAGATACGATGTGAAAGAAGTTGTTGTGCGTATTTTCACACTGAGATAACTTGTGTGTGTTTGTGTATGAGGGAGGAGGATATCAGAGGATTTGTGGCTGACAAATTTATTTTTATTTTTAGTTTGTGTTCCGAGTGTCGTGTGTCTGTGATTTATGAGGTTATGAGAAGCTCAGTAGTCATTATATAAGACTAGGGGGTGCTGGGTGGGGTTGTGTGTTTGTGTACTCTAGTTATTTGGTTGTTTGCTTTACATGACAACATCTACTCCATCCATGTTTTCCCTTTAAAAACTTTAAGTACAAATGTTGTTAGACCAGAGAGCTTCTATATAAATTAATATATTTAGATTTGTGTATACATAAAGAGATCTGTATGTACATACGAACATAGTTTTTCAAAACATTGGATTTAAAATGTGAGGGTGGAGGTCGTGTCCTCGGACCTCAAGCCCTTTTCTGCTTTCTTGCATTGTTCTTTTTTTCTTCCTGAAACGTGACGACTAAAGACTAAAGACCCAACACGCTCACAGCACACACTCCACAATCTGCTGGATAAAGTGGTAACTTCCTTCCCCCTCATCTGAGAAATAAGAAGCAAATTAAGTGAATTTATTTTATTTTTATATATCGATCTGGAAAGAAAAGAAAAACAAATCAAGAATCAAAAAATATTGCAGTTATATTGCAATTAATTTTTCTCCACCCCTAAAATGTCGACAGTTATCTGTCAAAATGTTTTCTCCAAATGAAATGTGCCAAAAAAAAAAAAAAAACTAAGAACAGGCGACTATCAATGCATAGGATGTCATGTCACAACCTGATAAACAGGCTCCTCACAGCAGACGTGGTTTAACTCTGCTCAGCTTTTTACATTAGATGCTAATTAATCATCCTGACAGAACACAGTGTCTCCCTGAGGCAGCTGAAGAGAGCCGGCAGGTGTCTGCTGGTTTTGTTGCTGCAGGTTTGGATGTGTGTCGCACTGTTATCCAGATACAGATGGACGATATGTCTCCACTTGCTCCCATTATCCAGGAATGAAGACAAACTATCACAGATACGAAATCTGGCATCTTGGATTTTTCTTTATATCTTATTTTAGCAGACTTGGACTTGCCTGGCTTATCATTAATATGTACGGCACAAGCAGGGTGGAGTCAATAAAAGCCCTGATTAGTTTAGTATTCATCAAAAATCCATTACCTTCCCCATCATCCGCAGTGATCCGGTTTTTTCACACAACGATCCTCAAACTTGTCCGTGTTGTTGATGCCAGTCTCGTCAGGCAGAGCTGATGTTAACGGGATGAAGTTACACGAAGGGCTGAAGTTCAGATCTTCCCTGTGGGGTGTTCGTTCAGCTGGTTACACAACTCCGACAGATTCCAAACATCAGCTGTTCTGTGACCCTGTAATCCAACACAGTTTGTGTGTGTGTGCGTGTGTGTGCGTGTCTTGGGGACTGTGTGTTCAAACACACCAAGGCAATATCAAAGAAACGTGTCAGTGTGTTTATGTCCTGTGTGTGTGTGTTACAAAAATGTCACGACACGCAACTTCGTTCACATTTCTTTGGAGCGCCACGCACATGCAGTTAGAAGAGGTTTAACACTTGATGCTCGTCTGTGCTGTCATCCCTCAGTCAGATATTTTGTGGTCGTCACTTTATCTACAGTGTCGAACACAAACCACTTTGATGCTTTTTAATAAACTCCTCTTGTGTTGTTGTCATCGTCGTCCTCTGTCCTGTCTCACCAGAGCTCAGTGAGCAGAGACCCGTCACGGTGAAGTGCTGTAGTTAAAACTGCCTTTCAGGAATCTATCAAAGTCAAAGCATCTGTTCAGTAGAGGAAGCCGTCCCACTGTTTACATGGGAGGACTGTTAAAACCTCAGGCTTAAATAACGTCCCTCTCTCCCTCCATGTCTCTCTCTGTCCCCTCAGATGCCTCAGTTTGAGAAGACGACGGTCCACATGAGGGACCCTGAGCGGGTGGAGCAGATCATCTGTGGTCTCATCAAGGGAGGAGCTTCCAAACTACAGGTAGAAACTACAGGCGGTGATGACGACACCCTGTCAGTTGAAGGTTTTGCAGAAACGGCACCATCTGGTGGTAGTGACTCACAGCTGAACACTGTCAATGGTTGATTTCATACATTTCATACATTCACACCTTTGAACATATATATACAGACGGTTTAGGTTCGTTTGCAGTATCCGTCTGTGGATCTGTCTTTTTATGTCACTTTAAGTTTCTCTGTTTCTTTGAATCCTCGATTTCCATTTAAGAATCTACTGTGTCTCACGTTCATTTATTTCTTGACTCTGTTTCAGGTCATAACAGACTTTGACATGACGTTAAGCAAGTTCTCCATCAACGGCAAACGCTGTCCTACGTGTCACAGTACGTACGGCGTCTTCCTCCTGTCGCGTTTTACTGTTTCTTTTTCAGTCACATTTTTGGGAATGTTGATTTCAGTCTGTTCCTGCTGTGCGTCATGTTGTCACCATTCTGTGCAGATATCATCGATAACTGCAAGTTGGTAACAGAGGACTGCCGACAGAAGCTGCTGCAGCTGAAGAATAAATATTATCCCATCGAGATCGACCCTCAACTCACCATGGAGGAGAAATACCCGTTCATGGTGGAGTGGTAAGTGACACAAACACACACACACACACACACACTGTTTCACATAACAACCACACACTGCCATGATTGTAATTCTGCTCACAAGAAGCGATCAGAGACATATTTATAAAAGTAAGTCTGTGTGTGTTTGCAGGTATTTTAAGTCCCACACGCTACTTGTGGAGCAACGGATAGAAAAAGACAAACTGCCAGAGGTGGTGAGGGACTCTGATGCTGCGCTCAGGTATTTAAATTAAATACATTTCTGGAGAATGTGTGGACGTCATTACAATGTGTGGCCCCCCGTGCACTGTGTTTCCTCTGTGACTGATTTGTCTGTGCTCGTTCTTTAGGGAAGGCTTTGAGCAGTTCTTTGACCGCCTGCAGCAGCACAACGTGCCTGTCTTCATCTTCTCCGCCGGCCTCGGTGACGTCCTGGAAGAAATCATCCGCCAGAACGGAGTCTACCACCCCAACGTCAAGGTTGTATCCAACTTCATGGACTTCGACGATAACGTGAGTCACTCCATCTTTACGCTCGAGCCTCCAGTTCAATGAGACAGAAATGAAGTGGCTCTCCTCACTGGTCGTGCTCTCCGTCCCGCAGGGTGTCTTGAAGGGTTTCAAAGGAGAGCTGATCCACGTGTACAACAAACACGACGGTGCGCTGCGGAACACAGAGTACTTCAAACAGCTGAAGGAATGTTGCAACATCATCTTGATGGGTGACTCGCTGGGGGACCTCAGCATGGCCGACGGCGCACCCAACGTGGAGAACATGCTCAAGATCGGCTTCCTCAACGACAAGGTGCAGCCAGACAAATATCAGTTCCCTAAATGTGCCTGATTAATCTTTTTTTTTAAATCAAGATCCATGAATTATGCTGAGAAATCAACACAAATGTTTGAAACACCTTTTCTCCCAATGTAGAAGAAAGTGGAAAAAAGTTGTAATATCTTCCACAGGTCACGGTGGTCACGTTTTTTCATGGAAATAAAACTTTCTAAAATGATTAAATAGCTTTAATTATAATAGAGAACATGCATTCAACTAGAAAACGTAGAGTCTTGAGTTCTTGTTGTTTTAAAGCTGAAAACGGTTTGTGCACCTTTTATTTCTGCCGTATCTCCATGGTGACGGCTGCGTCAGGTTCAAGCTGTGAAACATCTCCTGACACTTGTCCTCCTCTCCGATCCTGCAGGTTGAGGAGCAGTTGGACAAATATCTGGACTCTTATGACATTGTCCTGGTGAAGGACGAAACTCTAGAAGTGCCCAACGCCATCCTGCAGAAGGTTCTATAACTCCTCCCACAAGCTCACGCCCCCACGACCCGACCTCTCCGCCTCCCTCCAGACCTGTGGCCCGTCTGTTTAAAAAAACAGCGACGGAAACCAGGTGTGGTCTGGTCCCTTTTCCATTTGTCATCTTCGGACCCCCCCCCCCCCACACACACACACACACGTGATGGAAGCCTTTATTAAAGCCCCCGAGAATGAACAGTTTTAAAAGTCCACACAGCATCGGCCCGTTTGTTTTCTGACGCTCTCCTTCTCATTATAACTTTGAAGAAAAACCAAAAGTGAGTTATTTAAAAACAAACTCTCTCTCCATCTTTCTAATTTGCACATTTTCATTAATATTATTATTCATAGTATTGTTTTTGAAATGGTAATGTTTTTATGCCATAAATCAGGTGCCCACACATATACAGTGTTTTTCTTTTAGTTTTCCCAGCATGCCTGTCACCTCCTGTCTGTTTCTGTACGCTACGGTGATCGGAGTCGTTACAACAACAACAACAACAACAACAACAAAAGGATCTTGGGAAATGTGACTCCTTGTAAGAATTGAAATGTGCAGTTCACAGTAATAACCTCCGACACAGTGTTGGTTTAATGAAATAGAGGATTCACATCACCAGAGGGAACAAACTTGATGAACTCGGTGCACGAATGAACCTGAACCTCCGGCGATGTCGACCCGTGGCTGCGTGAAGAGCTTGATGCACCGAGACGTAATGTTTACATGAGATTTTTTTTTTTTAATTTTCTCATTAAGATTCATATAAACACACGAGAGTAAGGAATCTGTTTAGTCACTGAAACATTCAAGTCATATTTTTAATTCTCTGCTCAGCTGATTGAATAATCCAGTGTCTCCTCGTCATTGCTGCTCGAAGGTTAAAAAAGGGAATAAATAACTTGACCTCTAGTTTCACAGCAGGAACTACAAGAGTGGGAAAAACTCATTCCTGCAAATTCTTATTTAAAATTAAACTGTGATATCACAGTATATCTCTCGGGCTGTTTGAGGCGACACGAGGAGACTCCCTGCTGTGAAACCCTGAAACTCAACCCTACCTCTAAAATATATTTTTAATTTGGGAGGTTCAGAGCTAAAGCGACACTGATTCACTTTGTCTCATGTTGTGTTGAATGTTCTTCTGTTTTTTTTTGTTGACTTTGTGTTTGTTTTTAAATGTGCTGCTATCACCTGCATGTTGCCTTTTCTCATTGTTACGTTTATGTCAAAGAGATGAGACACTAAAAAAATAAATATATATATATATAAATATATATATAAATATATATCAATAAAATGGGAATAATGTCATATTGTATATGTGGGCATCATATGGAAATGTATATTACTTCATGGCATTTGGAGATATTTCCAGTATAGACTATAGTGTGTGTGTGTGTTGTATTTTTATAAGCAGATGGCTTTCTCTTTTTCTTTGAGCGTGTGAACTGAAAATGCAATAAAAAGTCATTTTGTGAAGCACGACTGGATCAAACACTAACGGCTCCGAGAGCACCGGGTCTCCGCTGCCTTTTTAAAGGTGCAGTCGATTAACAGACGTAGAAACTACACAGAGCACTTTGAAATCAATCAGAGATATCGAATCATTACATCAAACATTTCATCAGCCTGAATCAACACTGATACTTTGAAAACATTCAAATAATTATCTTCAAATGTTTTTCCTTACACATTATATATCATAATAACCCAAAGATGGAAAAATATGTTTTTATTGTTTGTTAAATGCAGAAATTTCCAGTGGATGTATTGAACTTAATTTTATGTGTTTGTGAACAAAACAAGTCAAACAAAACAATATTCATGTTACTTCAGTGTAAAAACTTGACCCTCAGTGACTCATTGACTCTTTATCAACTTGTGAAGAAGCTGTTGAAACTTTTCTATAACGTTGAATCAACTTCAACCACAAAGAAACTTATTAACGAACATTTCTGTGTCTAAACACACGAAACTACAATATAAAGTAGTGAGAAGTGAAAAGTCTGAATGATACAATAAAGAGTCCAGAGATCAACTAACAAGACAGAAACACTTTCAGGGACAAACAACAAGCAAACTGATGAGTTTGAATATTTCTATTTCTCAGACTTTGAGCACAGTGAACCCTCCTTCAGATACAAAACAATACAAACTAAAAAACAAGCTTTTCCTCCACTAGTGAAACTTCTTCTCAAACAAACCTCCAGAGGAACAAGAAGTGAGGAGACTGATGGACTCACTGAAGAGTCTGACATCACAGAGCTGCTGCTGCTGTGAGGCCATCTCTCCACAGGGAGGCGCCATCATAACAGCTACTCTTCCCTATTTAAAGGTGGAATCACTGATTCACTTCAATTAAAAAGTGTTGAAAGGAAAGAATGGAGACTTTCTGTCTTTGTTATTGTTTTTACTGTATTTATCATCCAGGTAATACTCACTATCTGTGCTACTCCACTGTATATTAGTCTACAGCAGTAACTGATTATCAAGCTCATTGCTGACAATAATGTGTTAAAGTGTATAATGTGGGATGAATATGAAAAAGGTGCAAAAGGGCCTGAACTCAACTTTTATTTTGGAAAAACAAAACATTAGAGCCACACTGAAGCCTGTGACCGTCCTTTAATGGACTGTTTGGGGTCAAGACTTGGTTTTAGAGTTAGAATTAGATTTAGGTTTGGTTAAGGGTTAGGCATTTAGTTTGGATGGTTAGGGTCAGGGGCCGGGGAATGAATTATGCCAATGAGTGTCCTCAGTAAGAAGCTGTACAAATGTGTGTGTGTGTGTGTGTGTGTGTGTGTGTGAGTGTGTGTGTGTGGCACCTGGCACTAGTCCCACACCAGGTCCTAATCCCCTCGTCAGCAGCCTATAAGAACCCGGTCCTCTCTGCACTCATCACCAGATTGTTCTGTCACCTCGGTGGAACAAACTCTCGGCCGGGCTCAAGTCGTCTTCTAGTGGAAACTGTTTCTCATGTGTCTTGTGAATCCTCTCATTGTTTTTCTCTTTGTGCCTCAAGTTCACCAGAACCAACAACTTGTTGCTCTCTCACTTAATATCATTTGACCAGTTAAAGGCTAAATATAACATAAACCCAAAGTGTAATGGTGGAGGTGTCTCAGTATATTTGAGTGAAGATGTAGAGGTCATCCACAGTTTGATTTAAAGTTTCTAAACATTTCACTACGTCATCGTCAGAACTGCCCCAGTTTTCTCTCTGTCACCTGGTTTGGTTCAGTTTTACTTTATCTCACCAAGAAGCGATTATCACGTTGAGTCCAAAGGTCTTTCTGAATGTGGGACAATGTCTTTATCTTAAAGGACGCTATGTCTGGATGTTAGGGATCGGGGTCATGTCTGAGAAATCTGTATTTGAACTTTTTGTGAACTTGCACATTTTCCTTTTTGCTTACCAGGTTCAAAACGACAAAGAATTCAATTATTAAGTGAA